GTGTGAGACAGCCTTGAAGCCAAAGGCAAAGCGGCTGCACTTCGCAGGCTTACTTATCTTAATAAATAATAAATGGAAAATAATTGTTGGCTCTATTTTAAAAGTTACTTTTGATTTTACGCTATGAGATAGTTTTAGCCTCCTTAATAAATTTTAAATGTCCCCGACGCACGATTTTCTAATCCGCATTTAAATGTCGGGAAATGTACGTATGTATATAAAATTTGAGGCTCAAGTTCATAAGCCACCGCCAAAGCTCCAAAAATCATTTTAAATATATGCTATTTTTCCACCGTTGTGCGATCCAGGTCCGCTAGTTGAAAATGAAATAAATATATGGATGTAATTTTACTCAAAATTATGCTCGCTTTTCTTAATTTATTAATTCATCAAGGCGAATTTATATAAGGTGGTGCTGTTTCATCAGCCGTGAGTAGCGTTTGATTGTCAAAATTTTGAATTTCGTTAGTGAGTGAGTGAAAACGTGAGAGTGTTTGTATTTTCTGTCGCCCTTTTTCATTCGGGGAAGAATAGCTGAAATTTGGCAATAGCCCGCTAAAAGCAAAAACAAAATACAAGCAATTGTTGTATTTGTTCAATCGATACCACCTTATATGTATTCGCCTTGTAATTCATCTTACATTTACTTTAGATTCAATGTCACTCGAATTTAAGCTCTAATATTTATAAAAAGTAGCTTACTCCACCTCCATCTTTACAAATAGGTATGGCCTTGTCCTGGCCCGCTACAGTCGTCATCCGGACGTCAAAACCGCTGGCATGTTTGGCATGCGTCCACTTGTCCTCTTCACATCTGAAGAATCGCATTATAGTTTCATCAAAGCCGCCCATTGGCTGGGTTTAGGCGCCGATAATTGTGTGGTCGTCAAAACAAATGAATATGGTCAAATGCTGCCAACCGATTTGGAGGCGAAAATTGTGAAGGCACAAGAGGCGGGGCATGAGCCGTTCTTTGTGAATGCTACCGCTGGCACCACGGTGTTAGGGGCATTCGATGATCTCAATGCAACAGCCGATGTGTGTGAGAAATATGGATTGTGGTTGCATGTGGATGTGAGTATTGCAACGATTCTAACAAAAAGTAATACAAGCATAAACATATGTAAATATCTCTAGGCATGCCTAGGTGGTTCAGCTCTTCTATCCTATGAGAATCGTCACCTGCTGGCCGGCCTTGAGCGCACAAACTCTTTCGCTTGGAATCCACACAAATCGCTCGGTGCTCCACTACAATGTTCGCTCTTTATCACGCGCGAACGTGACCTACTCTCGCGCTGCAATAGCACACAAGTAAATTACCTCTTTCAGCAGGACAAATTTTACGATGTCTCCTATGACACAGGCAATAAGAGTATACAATGTGGACGCAAAATTGATGCATTTAAATTTTGGCTAATGCTGAAAGCTCGTGGCTATGGTAGTTTTGGACGGCTTCTCGATCATGGAATAAATATCTCGAAAGTGCTAATTAAGAAAATAAAGCAACGTGGAAGCGATCGTTTTCGTTTGGTTCTGGATGATTTTCAATACATGAACGTTTGCTTTTGGTACATACCGAAGGCGTTAAGAGGTCTCGAGGAAACTGATGAGTGGCGGGAACGGCTATTTACGGTAAATTATTGAGTACCCATACACATGAGTATAGTATTTTTTTTTTACTATCTATAAATATTTATTAATATTTATTAGGTTGCGCCCAAGATTAAGGAGCGCATGGCTTATAGCGGCACAGTGATGATCGGATACACGCCATTGCAATATCGCGGCTTGGGTAATTTTTTCCGCATGGTTTTCACCTGTTTTCCCGTGTTAGAAGAGCCGGAGCTTGATTGTATTTTGGACGAAATTGAGCGCTTGGGTGAAGAGTGCGAGTATTAGTTCAATAAAATGAGATTAGTTATGATTTAAGATTTCTTGTACACAAAGTGATTTTGAAATAAAAGAAATAAAATACTCGTATTTCATAAATTTCATTTTATTATTTGGTAAACTGCAAACTGCTCTCATTGCCTCTTTTCTTTCCGAAGTTCTGCCTGTTGTTCATCCCAAACAAAAGCGTATACATTTGGTCCTTCCACAGTGTTCGTCGGTAACGCTTACGTTGATTGTCCATCGGAGGGTGTAGAGTCGAAGGATCTTTTCATAAGAAATGTCCAGGCAGTTCTTGTCGATATAGAGCTCGGAAAGTAAGTTTAACCTTCATTTTCGAAACTCTTCGACCACGGGATCAGCGTCATGGATTTCACGCGAAATCAAAGCTGTGGGACTGCCTGAAGGCTTCATATGGGTTCGGGACACAGTGGAGTCATGGGCTATGAAGTGGCAGATATTCTCGCCAGAAAAGGGGCTGCCCTGGGATTCACACGCTCAGGACCCATTACGGGTCTACCTTGGAGCTCCGTTAGGCGAAGCTACTATATCTGAATGAAGAACGAAGCGTAACATTACTGGACAAATACGGAAGGTAACAGAGAGGCCCAGTCCTTCATTCCTGATAAATCAACAAGGAGAACCGAAGAATACCTTCACCTCAATTGGCATGAAGTAAGAATTGTTACTGGCTTTCTAACTGTAGGGCAATGCAACTCTTGTCAAAGGAGTTGGATTGTTAACTCTGACCACTGTTGGTTGTGCAATGAAGAACACGAAACAGCAAAGTACATTATGTGCCCTCAGCAGGGCGACTGTAACTGTGACAAAATGTAGTGTACACCGAGTGCAAAACTCACAACCAAAAACTCACCGAATGAAATCCAGTAAATTTTTTTGCAAGAGAAGTGTACACAATTTTGGCGGTTAAAACTCATTCTCACACTTAGCTTAGCGATTAGCTATTTTTTGTAGGACCCCTAAATACCCCAAAAAGAAATCGGAGGGCTCATTAAAAATCGGTAGTATTAAAAAATGGTAAAACAAATAATTGAGTATTATTATTGGAAGTCTCCCGAAGAGAAACAGAGTTTTCTGATCGAAAGGTATTGGTTTTCAAAAATTCTATACCATTTCTAAGAAACATTGTTTTTTTTTGCATATAAAATACATGGAAAACTTTAAGCGACCTCTAAATACTTTTTGATTGCAAAATAAAAACAGGGGTACAATATTTTTCGGTATAGAACAATCCTAGACAATTCCGACTTTACTTTTTTTTGGACCACCCCAATGTACATATGTACATGTTCAAATAACGCCCTTTGCTGTGCTTTTGGGAGGTTATACTTGAGCGCGCATTTAAATTAAAGCTTTAGCAGGTATGTACATATGTAAGTAAATATTTACTTTTTTGCTGTCGTAACTTATGAAATTCCATCCAATAGGAATCAACCATACTAAATAACCGTCATGCGAACAATAACCAGGAGCAACGCAACCTTAAATCAATATTAATGAAGAAGAAATGAAAAACGATAAAAGAAAACCTTATAAAAACATTAAAGAAAGAAGCGAAAGAAGCTATTCCACATGCATTCTAAAAAGTGTGTTAACTAAGAATCTACAATTTTCAATATTTTGAAGTAATATGTACATATGTATGTGCATATTACCATAAAAATGTAAGCAGACCAAATAAACTAAAGCAACATCACAGTAAATCAGAGATGAAAAGGAGAAGACTGGAATGAACTTTGTTGAACTTCAATGCAAATGTAAACAAACCCTCCTTAAAATGGAAGCACCTCGCGCGCCAATAAGTAGAAAAGGAGGCGAGACCAGCAGTGAGCCACTAAAAATCAGAAAAAATAAAAGTAGCAATGCGAATCCATGAAGACTAAGTATACACGAAGTGCATTTAGTGAAGTGAAAAAAGAAAAACCTTTTAAATATGCCATTGTGGAAATTGGATGCGCATGCAAAAATTAATGCTGGTGACGCGCCACAAAAAAAAAAATCGCACACAAAAATAAAAGATACATACCTGCATATAATAAAAATATTGTGAAAACAAAAGAAATATTAAACACAAAGCAATGTCACGCTGTGGAGATCATAAAGCACAATTGGCAAACATAAGGAAAAAGTGAACTTAGCAAATGTGCGCGTTAATAAATTGGGACGATTGGTACGCGTTGAGCCGCATACTCATTTTGGAGCGACGTTGTCACGCATGCTCGGTACGTGCGCGTTGGCGACATGTGCTTGCCGCATGCAGTTTACACTTCGAGTCGCCAAAATATGGATGGCTCTTTATGCTTACATATGCATGCAAATATGTACATGGGTATGTATGTATGTATGTACATACATATGGGTGGGTAGAGTTCTCAATCGAGTGGGGTTAACTATCGGTAACTAGTGATCGGACACCACCTAGTGACCGGACACTTTTGTCTTTTTTGCCTGAAATAAGAAAACCGTTGATAAATAATAGTTTTGTTCCCCAACTTTTCTGGATAAAACCTGTAAAACTGTCAAAAAGCAAAATTGCTCTCGGAGTAAGAGAAAGCCCAAAAAGTACGGGAACGCTTTTCGGGTAAAAACTGGTAAAACTGTCAAATACACAGTGGGCGCCATTTTTCGTTTACACAGCAGTTTTTTATGATTTGCCGAACTGCTAAATTATATGCAAATACACAAGCAAATTAACAAAAATACTTACAAAACTTGATATTTCTTTGCTGCGATATATTTAAGACTGTGAAATGCAGATCTACTTTTTTTGCTTATTCAACTTTCAAATCATTTGAACAGCTGATGGTTTGACACTTTACCAGCAAAAATTCTTCGGGTAAAATCTTGCAACTTCTGACAAAGAGAGGATCGATTTTAATATCCCATTTTTTCCCTACTTCACCAGAGAACCGAGTACGGGACCGATTTCGGGTAAATTCCTGTAAATTCTTGCAACTTCTTGCGATTTAGGGAACGCAACTAATAATAATTTGAAATCAAAGGAGACCTTGATTTGTTTTTAAATGCTGCACGGCTGTAACACCATCACTTTATGTGTTTGCTTTAGAGTGTGAAAACGTCCATATTTTAATTTTTTCGTTAGTGATACATAGTTCATTTAGCAATGTAGATTCAAGAATCAAATTCAAGTAAAATTAATGACAAAAAGCCCGGTGACTAAAAGTATTAAAAAATAACGCGATTTTATTAACCGGACATCCACATTTTTCATTACTGTAATAGTTTTTAACCCTCTCGTGGATAAATTAGACATATTTTTAGAATGAATAATGCGGATTCAGGACAAGCATGCTCACAAATAAACAAGGAAAATAAACAGTCAACTGCCCAAGACCGTGTTAAATGCAAAGTTGCTGAGTCTAAATATAGAAACGGTCCGAAATTCTATTTGCAGACCAAAAAATCATGAAAGATAGTGGAAGGAGAACCCCATTCAAAGATAGTATACCTGGTTAGACGTAGCTAAAACTATTTTTCAAGCGCAATCCTGGACTTTCATTCTGAAAAGCCGAGTCTATAAGCAAAGGCAGAGCTGTAATTACAGAAATATCTATAAGGCAACGGTCCTTTAAACTAACCGAATATCTAAAAGATATTAATAGCGAGGATGTTTTGCAAGACCCTTCACGAGTATTTAGTGGCGACGTAACAAGTTTTTCTTTGTGCCGAAAAACAGGAATATTCTTTGCTCCGAAAGGGTACGAAAATGTGTACCAAATATCCACTGCCTCCGAAAAAGAAACCATAACAGTTTTAATGGTCACATCTGCTGGATGGATTTCGCAAATGCGGTTTATATTTTTTAAATCCCGATGCAGAAGGTTATACGAAATATCTAAAATCCGAAGCAATTGCAATACAAACGCAGGATGAAATGACTTGCCAGAAAAACTCGATACAGAATTGCGTACTAAGTGATAACTGAACTCTCATCCCAATTACGAGATTTGGGCATAGATTCTGACGTTATATTAGAAGTTATCTCTGAAGAAGTTCAAACTCCTCGTTGCGCAATCCTCTCGAATACCAGAACACAGGTTCCGGAATGTGCCCTGATGTAAATAATATTTATACCATTGTTTGATGTAACTTTAGATGACCTGAAAATACCGACAGGTATATTCATTATAAGCGACGATGGAGTTTTAGAACCAGCATGCAGTAGTCGAGAGGACGTGTCCACAAAAACACCTACTCTTATCATATCTTCCCCAGCTCCCAGCTGTACTAGTAGCGTATCATCGCACTTATTCTACCCAAAGCCTTTCGTAGTCCCCTGGTCCCCCTTCGCAGATAGTTAAATTAACCCTCTACCGCATACGAACCCAAATATGGTGTCACTACTTGGCAAGGCAAAAACTAATGAAAAACTCAGTGGTTCTTGTAAAAAAAAAAAAAAAAACAATATATTTTCTTAATTCCCTCATCCTCCTCTGTGTCAATCAATAACACATGGAAACACTGATTTTGGTACGGCAAATGTAAAAGCTGTTTTTGATAGACTTTTTGGTGCTGATAACAAATATGTAAGTATAAAGTTTCCATCAGCTCCACATTTTGAGAAAAACGAGGTTTTTGATTTACTTGAGAAGTTCTAGCAAAAAAAACAAAAGCTGATAGAACTTTCGACTTACACTTAAATTAAAGCAATAACTCTCATATATTGAACAATAACAAAATACTGGAGTATAGTGCTATTGAAAATCAAAAACCAGTTTTTGCTCTTAAAAAAATTACTATAAGTGTTGCCAAAAGCGATATTTTTTGACAGTTTGATCTCGTTTTTCTCAAAATCTCGAGCCGATGGAAACTTTATACTTACGGATTCGTAATCAGCACAAAATATTCTATCAGAAGCAGTTTTAACATTTGCCACGCCAAACTATTTTATATTGTTTTTATATAATTTTCCATATACATATTTCTGTACAAAATAAAATTTAAAATAAATGACTTGGAGTCGTTTTTCTTTCGATAAAGATTTATTAATATGTAAATAACGGTTTAAACTCTTTTATTCATCTCTTGCATAATTCATGCA